CCTCATCCTTACCTACAAGCACTCAACCTTATCATCATTATCATTGAGCTCTAGACAATCGAAGCACTCTCTAACATACAGGGCTACTCCACCGCCTCTCCTTCCTCGCCTGTCCCTTCTGAAGACCTTATAGCCATCCATTGCAGCACTTCAATCGCGAGAGTCATTAATCTTCTCCCTTCTCCTGCTTTTCTGCATTCCCAGTTTTCTCTGTGTGCGTGTACATACGCATTACGTATGTGTCAGGAGGAGGTTGTTTTCTCCCCCCCCAATAGTTTCTTGAAAGATTTACATAGAAAATCTTGTCTAGATCAATTTAATAATTGATTGCAATAGAATTTCTTTAAAATGGTAACATTTTAAATAATAACAAATTTTAATAGAAAATTAAGTTTCATATTAATATCACTCTGTATTTTCTTTCAAGGCACTTACTGGAATAATATTGTGCCTCGTGGTACTGCTTCTGCGACAAAATGGATTTTTGTGTTGGCTTCCACAGCTTCATCTAAAGAAGGTTAGTGAATCAGCAGTGCAGGCATATAATAGCTGATTTTTAAATAGAGTGGAATTGATGGTGTAAGTAATTAAATATCCTGAATTACTTCAGATTTTGGATGCATTTTCTGTGTGCAGGGATCTAAAATATTTGAAGTAAGGTGGTAATACATCTGTAAAACTACTGGAGATAAAAAAAAAGCATACAGTTCCTCTGCCACCTTTGGTGTGGAGTGGCATCCAACAGAGAAATGGGTAGTCCTTTAGAAGCAGTAACTTCCTAAATTGCCGCAGCATGAATTGCCAGAATTTGTAATATGAAATCTTGGAGCATGCTTTGCTGGAATGCCTATACTAACCAAGTACTTCTCCTGTCAGTGCAGTTATTGCAGCAAAATTGCACATTTTATCAGTAAAAGTGTGACCACACTAAGGAATGCCACTGCTAGTTACAATAGTTAGCAATTGCGTTATCTAAGTACACTAGCTTTATTGGCAAAATGTGTGATTTAGAGCTGAAAAGGAATGCTGTTTATCAAAGGCAATTATCAAGGATAAATAAGAGCAAAAGAATAAAAGGAAGTGATAGTGCACTGCTATATATGTGTTCTCTCTATTAGTTTCTCTAAATGAGATGTTTCTTCAAATGAGATCACTTCCTACATACTTGATTTGAGAAAGGGAGTATTTAGATACCTAGATAAGGGCTTGGGATGTGTATTTGTACTTCAAAATCTTACCCTATGAACATAGCCAAGAAGCCTTAGTTTTGTCTTCAAATATACTGATCATTTTTTCAGAAGAAGCAGATGTGTAAGCTTTCTCAGAGTGGATTAGGAATGATTTTAATAACAGAAATGTCCTTTCCATAGGAAGCTTTCTGTGGTTGTGCCAAAGCAACAAGGATCTGTTTTGTGTCAGCGATCAGAATCCTCAGTTTCGTCCTTCTACGGTGCAGCTGCCACCGGGCGCTGAAATGGTGCACTACTCTGCCTGCCAGGATGCCATTTGGGGTTTGGATATTCTTGGGCAGATATTTATCAGAACACTTTCATCCAGCTGTCCAACAGGAATGCATTGGACAAAACTGGATCTCTCTCAACTAGGTATGACATTTTTATTGAATAGACTGTCTCTTAACTCTCTTAGCAGACAGTCGATATTTTCCTTCAGAAGTATCTTTTGGTTTACTGACATGGAATATTACATTTAGTGGTTTAAATAGTATCTTACACAATGGGCCTCGCAGCAGAGAACTGTAAAACATCAGGAACAACTATGGCTTTCAAAGTGTTTCATTTAGCCTTTTGCTGGAGACAGCATGTTTGCTGTTTGCAAGATACATGTGTATGTGCTTCTTACAGTTTGTCAGTCTGAGACAACTCAGCCTGACACAGTGCTGTGCAGGTGTACCAGTGGCTTTAACTAGTCTAGTTCTTGTACTACAGTGTAACCGTAATCGTGTGATACTGGGCAGTTCCATACACAAGGCCCTGAATTTTGAGGTTAAATGCTTTCTTAACAGAGTGGTCAAAGCTTCATTAGGATCCTGTCAAGGAAAAATTATGCTCCAAGAGTTGCATCATCCGTAAGTGATGCAGCTGATAACACTCTTATGTTCAGGTTTATACCGATCGTATGATTCAGCATAATGTTAAGAACGTGCTGCTGGTTAACTGCTCTTTTTATTTGGTTAGGCATAAGACCAAGGTTGTTGACCATGTTTTGATCGTTAAAATATCCTCCCAGTTTGGCTCTGGGGTAATCAGGCCACTTGTCAGCTTCATCAGTAGTATTCCAATTAGATTTATTTCTTTGATAGTCTAGCTGTTAGAACATCCTTCATGCTAACCTGCATTCCTGTTTCAAGAGAAGATAAAAGAAATGGAGACTATGCACTGTTCTCACACCATTTAAAAAATAACTCAACAGTTCTGCAGTGTTTCCATTTTTAATGGCAATGTTCATGACTGGTCTGAGAACAGACAAACAATTTTAACTTCAGGGTTAAAGAAAGGCAGACACAGCTGGCAGAGTTTAAGCCTCACGTACAATTTTAGTATACAATTTGTAATACTTCATGGAAAACTTTTTAAAATGTGTCCTTTAAAATTAATTTGTTTGCTAGTTATACCAGGTTTTCAAGACCTGATGAATTGGTTCCAAATCACTAATCATACCATAGCTTAAGCACTGCTTGATGCCTTTTACTTTCACTGACCTACAGAATAGGTTTGTCCACACTCTTCTTCTCATGTTGCTTAGTAGAGTTTGAAACTTTTCTCATGATACCGTTGCTCTCCAGCAGTTTAGATGATAACTGTTTAACTGAAATAATAAATAACTTCTTGCTATTGTCTGAAAATCTCAAAGCATTCATAAAGGAAGTCAGTGTAATTGGTGCTAGCTGACTGTAATATCTGGCTTGTGAACTTCTGCAGTTCACAAGTTCAACCTTTACATTTGTCTGTTCCTGTTAGCTTCGCGGCAGTCTGTGGTGGTATTGCAGAAATCTGGGGTCAGGAAATACTTCAAACACTCCACTTTACCTGTCACTGTGGGTTCACGCTTAAGGGTTTCACACTTAAGTGTGAAAATGAAAATGTTTTAGTCATTTTTCCTACAATTAAACGTGTATGGTAGATCACTGCTAAAAAGATAGTGCATATCCATGGTTACAATATAAGAGCCTTTATTTGCTCTAATGGAGCTGAAGAAGTTGGAAAACTATTCTTACTGTTCAAGTGTATGTTTAAGTTTACTCCTGAAACATTAGGACTGTAATTTGAGGTGGGGGGAAGCAAGTTGCTGTAAAATGCAATTCAGAATTCTGTATGGAAGTGATGGGGTTGCCAGCATTAATGTTGAAATATTTATATTATGTTGGTAGTATCTTCCTCTTGCCTTTACACTATGTACTAGGGGTAGTATCTAGTAAATTATTTTGATTATAGTTCCACTATCGGTATCAAGGTTTCTAAACACAGTAGAATGACCTTTAGGTTTCAACAATAAACAATGCCTCTGAATCATGCTACTTTCTCTAAACAGTAGATGAATGTGGTTAGCATGACCTTCTCCTAAGATAAAAACAGTAAGTGGGAGGAGGGAGAAACCCCAAAACATTTACATAAGGGCTGCATTTTTGAATATCAAATTGTACTGTAGACATAAATAATATCAGCTATGCTGAGTAGGTGATATGTGATTCCATGTTTGAGTGCTCTGATGCTTGTTTGGATGAGAACATTTCAACAGCTGAGACATCATGTGACAAAGCCAGTACTTCGAGTCATACTTTGTATCAGAAGGAAAAATGAGGTTTTAAGTAAGATTTTGACTTTGTAGCTGTATGTCAAGCAAAAGAAAGTTGTTCTAGATGTTCGTATCCCAAGCAGTAGAAGCTTTTGTGTATAGTTTTGTCATTTTTTTTTTTAATACGAAGCTGTATGATTAAAGGAAACTTTGGGGTGAGATGAATTAATTCAAGTTCCTATGATTCAGAAAGTTAAATAATTTTGTTTAGTGAGAAGATCTGTGTGCTATTACAGATAACTAAAAGATAAAGCTGTGTAGTCCTGTTGTTCTCTGTTCTTTCCCCCAGCAAGCCTTTACGACAGGGCGTATTGCCTTCTGCAGAAATAAATGCTTTAAACTTGCACTTTGTAGAATAAAATGCACCCCCTCTTTAAGGAATGCTGTATGTGATGCACTTTACAAGGATTTGTTGCCAGATTTCACATCACTGAGGAGAGAACTGTTACCAAGAATGGGATATCCCAAGCAGCACTTGCATGTTCAGTCAACCAGCGAGGCCTATTTTTAGAGTCTTTACTTTGGAGTCTGACCAGGGCATTCCTTCTGGAGTATATCGGTACTGATTGGGTCCCTCTTTCTGTAGAACATGTTTTCCATTACTTAGCATTGTGTTGTCCCAACACTGGGAGAAAAAAAAAATCAAATGTTACGTATGTTACATCACATGGCTATTTTAAAATGAACGTGAAAGAGTAAGAGTTCCAGTTGACAGTTAACTAGCAGTTCTTTTTAGTCTAAAATATCAGGTATGCTTCTCTACTGTCTTTGCAAACTTTTAATACCAAGATTGATGGGTGCGATTGGGTATGCAAAAAAAAAAAAACCACCCAACAAACCACGCCAAAATTCCAAAACATACTTATTTGGCAGCTTTGTTTTCATTGTGCTGACTTACGTAGGGTTAAAATACTGCTGTACTTTTGAGATAGGTGTAATAAATATGTACACTGTTGAATATAAATCCATTTGAAAATCAGCTCCAGATGTGACACTGGTATGTTAACACTGAAATGCATAATCCATATGTTCTTATATTTTTAAAGTGCTGGCAGCATTAGGAATGTTCTTTGCTGAATGTATTAGCAGATCAACACCTTTAAAAACCTACAAGCACGGGCAGCTACAGAGAAAAGTTCACAGCAGGTCATGTGGAAGTTTGTCTAGGCACTGATAACATTTGTCACAGAATGTTTCCCTGCTTGAATTTCGTTATTTTAATAGCGTATTTTTAGTGTGCTTTAGAAATTGCAGTATCCTATGACTAAAATATTTATTTTTAGATTTAAAAGAGACCTCACATACACTACCTGTTGGTTTTATTCATTGTATCCTGTGATTTTTTTCTCTCACAAGTTGTATTAACTTTTAATAATTTTTGTGTGACTGGGTTTAAAGCTAGTTTAATACAATCAAGTCTAAATAAAAGTTCTCGTTATTAGCTGAATTTGAAAGGAGAATGCCAGTTTGCTAATGGTCTCTTTGTTATTAGGTGCTGTAAAGCTGATCAGCTTGACCTGTGGAAATCAGCATGTTTGGGCCTGTGACACCAGTGGTGGCATTTATTTCCGTGTAGGAACTCAACCTCTTAACCCAAGTTTGATGCTTCCTGCATGGATAATGATTGAGCCACCTATGCAGGTAAAATGTTGACTACAATTCTTTGTAACCCAGTGGCTTAGCTCTATGCATTTGAAAAAAAAAGAAAAATTTTAATACTCATGGAAAACAGTAGGGCCAGATTTTAAATGTGTAGCTTAAAACTTTCTGCCACATGTTTGAATTCTACAGGATTTCTCTCAAAAACAAAAAACCCCAAAACAAAACAAAAAAACCCCCACACAAACCCAGGGTCTGTAAAATGTACTCTGAATATGCTGCTTTATTACCATAAGTCATCCCAAAATCATCTAATTGTTAAAAATAACTTTTTTTTTCCCCAAAAAAAGTGAAAGGTTTTGTTTTCCTTTCTATCCTTAATGAAAGTTTACTCTTCTCATAACACAGCAGCTTTATAGGCATGTAGTAGAATGCAGCCTTGAACCGTATACTGAATACCTGCTGTATGCTAGCCAAGAGGCTGAATTGGCAGACAGCACAAAGCCGAGGGTGTGAGGAGGCTCTGCTCAAGTGGCATGGTGCTGAAGTGCCTGCCTCCCTTTTCCTTTATCTTCACCCCTGTGAGTCTGGAATGATTGCCAGGGTGCTGTGCCTGGATTTAGGGACTTTCCTTATCATCCAGTGGTTAGTAAGTGTGCAGTACAATTGCAGCTCTTCTCCCTTGTTCCCAGAATGGGCAAACTTTTTATCCTTTCTACATGCCAGCTGGGAGGATCAGAGTGGAAAAAAGCCTCCTAAAGTACCTTGGGAGCATCTTTTCTGAATATAGAGAATGGACAAAATATGTTTCTCCAGCGTGTGGTTTATTTTTTAATCTCTTCTTAAACTTCAGTGCTCGCTTTCATTGCTGCTCTAATACTTTGCAAGTTAAACTATGAAGTGGGTGTAATTTCTGTGTTGTGGGTTGCGACTGCTGTACTGGAGCTGACCTCTGACTACTGATTTCATTCTTTGCTCCTTGGCACAAAATCACTTGAACTGTCTGCTGATCTAGCATAGTAGCATTGGATGTGTTTGCATACTTGATTTACATTTTATAATGTTACAGAATTTCTCTTGAAGATTTTGAAATGCGTGGTACTTTTGAAAGGACGTATTAAGAAATAAAAGTAAATCTCTGGCAGTGGAGTTGCAATAGCTTATTTGCTTTTTACATCATTTGCTTTTAGTTCTGCTTATCTCTCATCAGCCAATTATTAGCTGCTCCTGTGAATCTCAGTGTAACAGCAAAGAAGGGCAGGGAAACAGGGAAAGGAAACTGCAGATTTGCATCCCATGAGTTAGCACAGCACTGGTTAGGCTTGTTCTTTTGTGCTGGGAATGCGGTCAGTCAGACCTGGAGAAATGGCACTTTGTTTTGCAGAACAGCAGAACAGACTGATAAAGTACCAATATCATTTGCAACAAGGGCTAGATTACACTGCTCATTCTTTGTGTGCTGCAAGTGGGTCTTTCTGATGTAATCTGTAAGAGACAAATTTTTCCTGCTAACAGGGGGGTAGGGCAGCAGTAAGAGGAGACTGAGGATATCAGTGATGATGTCTTCCATAAGGGTAGTATTCTTAGGAAGGGGGGGAAAACACATTCCAGGATGTGTTCCACTTAAACTGAATTTGCCAAGAGACAGAGAATTAAACTCTGTAGTATCTTCTTACCAAAGATTTGTCTATCCAGGAAAATAGCCTGAAAAGCTGTTTCTCTACACTGATACTATTCTGTCTGTACTACGTGCATTCTCTACTCCTCCATTGAAGAAGATTAAACTACTCAATACAAAGGTATTTACAAAAAATCAGGATTTGCTGTGGCTCATTATTTAGCAGTGACTTCCTTGTGTAGAAAGTCTTTAATTGGACAAGGTTGAAAATCAAATTATTTCCTATTAGCTTATTGAGGAAGCTGGATGATGTTGCCTTACAAAATGATAACCTTCTGATACCCAGAGCAGTTTCATTCTCTTTCCTGTTATCTTGCCAACACCTGACATTGCAAATTTAATGAGTCAGTACGAAAGGGCAAAAATTCAAACTTTTTTTGCAGAGAACATGAAAACTTATGGGTTACATGCTCATTTGGAGACAATTCCAGCATGTTAAAACAAAACATTAAAGTACTGAAGGAGCAGCCATTCATGCTTTTACAAAGGCTTAATGCAAAATGAAATATGTGAACTTTAAAATGATTTTCAAATGCTAGCTTAGTGTTTGGATAACAAATATAACATGATGGCTGAAAAGTGGACTATTCCATGAACAATATTTCCTTATTAGCAGCACCTTACTGTTATTTGTCCCTTAATTGACTTTGACACAGTTCATGCTGCCTCACTTTATCTTCAGAACAACAGAAATACTGTAAGAAGTATTTGTGAATGATTCAGTCATTTTCTGTTTGAAGAAGGAAATAAAAATTGACTTTCCCTTCCTTTAAGTACAGGAGCATTCTCAAATAACGTAATTTAAAACCAACTATGGATATTACATTCCCTAGTAAATGTCAGAGCCAATATGACTTGCCATATCCCAGATCTCATGACTCATGAGCAGCTCGTGAGCAGCTACAGCCTCTGCTTTTATGGTGCCACTTCTCGTTAAAGGAGTGCTGCAATTGCACAGCATCCATCTTTGCAAAACTTCATGAAGGTATTCAGAGACAATAGTTTTGATGAGATTTTACTTATGCTAAAATCAGTGAATGTAATTTCAGTATTTGCTCTGTGATGCTGTATGGTTTTTTTAATCTTAGACTAAAACCATACTCATTTGTTACTCTCCCCTTTGTAACTCCCCACTGCAGTATCTCTTGAGATGAAAAATAAAATTTTATATTCTCTGCCCTCCCTCTTATTTTATCCAACTCTTCAGAAGTGGTTGATAACATCATTACAGTATCGTCAGCAGTAGTAGTTTATATGTAGGTGTTTTTGTGCTTCATCCATTCTGTTCTCCAGTCTTAGAAGTCAAAATAATTATGTAGTTAAGCAGCTTTTTGGAAGCTGCTTTAAGGACATTAACAAAGCTGATCAAAATTCTTTGATGAAATTATTTTAGTCCAGGAAATAGAAAGTAGTTTTCATTCTATTTATTAATATACAGGATAAAACTATTATCTGCTGTAGCATGCCTCAATATACATTAAATTTAATTTAAAAAAAAAAAAGGCAAGAAATATGAATATTATTTATGTAGGTACTATAGAGTATGTTTCTATATGTGTGTGCATGTATATTTATGAAGATTAAATGCTTTTCAGATTCCTGGCCTAAAGAAATAATAATTTAAAATGAAATATAAAATTAATATAGTCAATAAGACTAATTTGGGTGATTATGGAGTAGAAGTTGATCAAGAGTTAAAAATCGTCAAATTGCTTTAAAAGGTCCCCTTGAAGTTGAACGCTTGTTTGAAAAGAATTCTTTCAACATTTCAGCTTTGATTTTTGGCATCTTCTGAAAAAGATGCAGAGCCAAAGTCTGATCTTGAGAAATGCTCACTTCCTACAAGTACTACTTAACATAAAAACTGGCCTTAAGATCCACCTTCTCGGATTTACATTAAGGGATCTATCAGATAAGCAGAACTTTATTTAAGAGGATTAAAGGAAACAAAGATCAGGACAAGTATTTGTAATGAGTGACCGATCATCTATTGCTTATAAACAATCATTCTTACTCTAAAAATAGATTAAACATTTTATTAATTGCCATTTGCTTCGTTAGAATCATAGAATCATTTAGGTTGGAGAAGACCTTTAAGATCATCAAGTCCAACCTTTAACCTAGTACTGCCAAGTCCACCACTAAACCATGTCCCTAAGCACCACATCTACATGTCTTTTAAATACCTCCAGGGATTGTGCCTCAACCACTTCCCTGGGCAGCCCGTTCCAAATTGAAAAAGCAATTTTATTAAATTGAGAGGTTTATTTAAATACCTGCATAGCTTGTTCAAGCTGTGGAGTAAAGGGGGTTTATTTAAGGAGATGTTTGCTATTTGGCTACCGTGTAAAGCTTTCGTTGATCCTTTGTGGTTCCTAGGGTCTCAGCAGAAGACTACTGCTTAACTTTATTTGCCATAGAATGGTCTCTTGCAGTATGTGCATTTCAAGTTAGAAAAACATTTGCTTTACTACTCTTCCCATAAACAACCTAGTAATTGCCTCTTTATATTTTAAGCTTGATATCATAGGTAAGAGAAGATAGTCAAAATTCTTACTGATCCTAGGAGGAGCTTTTTTTTTCCCTCACACACACACACAAAAGTCAAGGCTGTTCACACTTTCACTGTCAGTCAAAAATTGTTAAAACTATGAAGCAAATAGTAGTTAAAAATATAATTTGAAATTTAGGAATTTTCTCTGTAATTCTGCAAAAACAATACATGCTAGATTTCATTTCTTTTCAATACCTTCCTTTCTCTTAATCTATGTACAGTGTAAGGAGGTTGATTGTGCCTTACGGATGAGTGGTGACTTGTTAGAAATGGTTGTAATGATCTTTGTTTCCTTTTCTCTCTTTATTTAAAGTTCTGCTTGCCTTAAAGAACACTTAATGCAGATCTGGAGACTTTCTTCCTCTCCCATCTGCTTTGCCTTTACATTTTTCAGTGAGGTTTCTATTATTATTAAGGCCAGTTTTGTGTTAAGTGGTACTTACAGGAGGAAGCGGTGAGCACTCCTCAAGATCAGGTTTTGCCATTACACCTTTCTTGGTAGGTGCCAAAATCAAAGCTGAAATGTAGGAAGGGCTTGTTTGAAATGATCTTCAACGATTGGATATTTGGAGGGGGAGGGATTTTTCTGTTGAAAACACTTCATAACTTCTACTTCAGAATCATCCATGCTACTTTTGAAAGTACTTGCCATGGAAAACTGTTCTTTCTAATGCATAAGCCACATGACTGTTCTTTTCAAGTCTGATTGTTTTTACTAGTACAGACTAGCTTGCATTACCTAGCTGTTGCACAGATATCTTTCTGAGTTGCTATGAGTTCTACTTTGGAGTACTAAGATGAGATGCAGAG